CTGTCCCGACAGCTAACTTACTAGCAACGCACGGTAAGTACTCGTTAGACCATATGTACATACTTATAGACACGGCTTCAGATAACTGTCTTGTCACATGTGGGCAGAGTAATGTATGAATATTTAGGGAAATGCAATTTAACCCTCGTACGACGAATGCAGGGTCGTTTTGACTCAACGGCGATAAAGTCTAAAGTTTGGTACAGGAAATACACCTATTTTTCGTATCAAATGTAAATAAACGAGAAAAATATAAAATATGTATAAAAGTATACACATTTATACCCAATCCCTTCTTGAATACAATAGAAATTTTATTATGGGTCAAAATGACCCTGCATTCGTCTCCCGTGTCCAAAACCATTCGCCTTCCGAGGGTTCATCGTTGTTAAGTCTGAAATGTATATTTTATTTCATTAGTTGTTAATCTTTACTTTACTCCTATAATTTTAAATACCGCTCGTTGCAACGTATTTTGGAAATTATAACTTCTAGAAAAGTAAATTTTAATTGAAATAATAATATTCACAGGAAAAGATGTAACCTCACTTGTACGTATCTGCTTGTTGCACGTGTCTAATGCAGTATCCACCATTTTGAATTATCTTTTGTCCACGAGTGACATATTTTCCTCGTTATCTTTGCTTCACTTTGACTCGTCAATTACTATACACCGCGTCTATTAAGTATAAGTATATGGTCTAAGCGCAGTACTTTGACGCCTGACTAATTTTACGACCTCGCTGTATCGCTTCCACCAACTGTACATGGATGTGTGTCGTCGCGTGCCGTGACGTTCTATGATAGGACTGACGAACTGGCTGCCCGCGGGCCGCATGCGGCTCCTTCCCCTACTTGCCTGCTCCGCAGAGCCTTAGGGAAATGACCCCCTTAATATCTATTTGACTCCGCCGTCTTCATCTTTTTCTTGCGACCAACTGGCGGCTCATGAGCCGCGCGTAATAGCTCCGACTCCTGCATAGCCTACTTCTGAACGTTAATAGCGTTTTATATTTCGAATGTGAAAGACAATGTCATACAAGGCCGAGTTATTCGGTCTTCTCGAAGATAAAAGGTATATTTGGTGCAAGAGCTATGTAGTGAGGTCGTGAAGTTAGACAGGCGTGAGAAAACATGAAATTCCATCGCCGAAACGTCAGTTTGGGTAAGGTAAGAGGCTCGAGCCTTGTTCAGGGTCATACGTTCCATTAAAGTCAATTTAAAAAAGTGATAAAGACAGGAAAAAATGTAGATACGAGTCTATACTGATCCAATCACGGACATTGCTTGACCGCTATAAGTGTCGGCTGTCCGAGGGTTCGCGTCTTTTGCTCGATGCTTGTGACTTGAAATTAGGGGAGCTTCTGTAAGGCTCTGCGTGCGACTAGATCAATCGATGTTTTCGCTTAACACGTTCACTGCGGCAGCTTTCTTTGAAGACTTTCTTATTTGGCGGTACGCTATATTTCGTTATTTTACCCTACAGAGGCTCAATTAGTGCCTATTACGGTGAAAATAGTAGGAGAACGACGGAAATATCAGCTTACAATTAGCACGTAGAGAAGGTTCAATGAAAAACGAGCCGCACAGAACGAAGGTACGTTGTTAACGTGATTAACGTTGTGAATCGCGACCTCACCATAGTGCTGTGGGTAAATAACACGTGGTTGGAGTATTTTAACACATATGTATTCAATAAGGACAATTGCACAACGAAGATAACAATGCATTAATGGGAATATTAGGCTCAATTAGTGCCTATTACGGTGAAAATAGTAGGAGAACGACGGAAATATCAGCTTACAATTAGCACGTAGCGAAGGTTCAATGAAAAACGAGCCGCACAGAACGAAGGTACGTTGTTAACGTGATGAACGTTCTGAATCGCGACCTCACCATAGTGCTGTGGGTAAATAACACGTGGTTGGAGTTTTTTAACACATATGTATTCAATAAGGACAATTTCACAACGAAGATAACAATGCATTAATGGGAATATTGATCAGCTGAATAATGCTCTCTTATTATATCTCACTTATTCTCACTCTCTTATTGTTTTCACCAACCACGCTGCTCTACTGTTTACTCTCCTATTCCGGCTAACTCACTGCTCGCTTCGCCAATCTCAAACCTTTTCAAGCCATAGATCACACCGACTCCCAGAATGTCCACCTATATACAAAACAAACACACGACATTCACGCCATCATTCACAACACATTCGTAAAACCAAATCCGCAAGTTCTTCCACCAAGTATATGTTGATTTTTGTCGTATACCTCTCTCCTATCTTTTATTAGTTTTTAGTCATCCTGCCTCCTTTCCTTAACTGTAAACAAATCCGCATCATCCTAACGTTAGTCACCCCGAAACCTAGACCTCCACATCATCCTTTACTCATCGCTGAACCTAGACCTCACCGCCTCTCCCTACATTGACCTCTGAGACCAACCCCTACTCTCGTACTTACCGAACCTATATCTAGAAACCTTTTCCGTCGAAACAGCAGATTTTTGTCTAGTGGTCTTCACGCACCGAACGTCACCGAATTGTCTAATAAAGTCGAATAGTACTACGCGCAGAATAGCTCCCTTATTTCGCCCCAGTTTCCGTCAGGCTCTCCTACCGCGTACCTATTGAATATAATAAACCAACGCAAGGAATCGCGAGCCGCGGATGGGTGTGAAATAAAGAACTAATTAAATAATATTATATTTAATTTAATGTGTGCGTTTTATTGACTTAGGCTTTTCAGCGCGTACTCGTAACGAAACGTGCATAAATAAATAATTGCCCATCTACACCCAGTATCGTATCATGCGACCGCTGTGCCCTCCTTCCAAACCTCCTTCAATACGTCGTTGCTTCTCCAACAGTATACAGGGTGTTTCATAAACGCATGTCAATACTTCAGGGGGTAAATTCACACACTACAGTAAGTAAAAAGTGTCACATAGACATACGTACGTCCGGTATACCTTAGTTTTCGAGTTATGGATGATTAAAGAAAATGTTTGAAGTGCCCTTCTCGAGCCTCAGCACACGCTCCTGCATTGAGTTGCGCACTCTCTGGAAAATACCAGGTATCCTTCGAATTTTGCTGATCTTGTACATTATTCACTTGCGTTGTATACACAATTTTTAGAGCACTAACGAACTCGCGAGAATAAGCCACTGACTGCCCGAAGTTTTATCTGCTTCACATCGATGGATATTATTAATAGGCCAAGGCATATTAACACTTCAAGCGCCGGACTAGCGAAAGTGCTGGGCCCGCCTAAATGCGCTTTTACACGTTTGTGCAGAAAAAATGTTGTATCTCTCGAACAGCAAGTGGCTCAATATTTATATCGTTAAAAATCATCGCTGTGCCTGTAATCAGCACTACGTAAAATTTTTCAATAGAAATTTTCTGTTTCACAAGAGTTATTTTATTTGATTTTGCAAAAGTGCACGTTTCTACAAAACTCGTAAATATTGCGGCGCTTTGAGTAAAGTTTCCAGCAAAATACCCGGCGCTTTAACCCTTTCGCTGCTGCAGATTTTAATGCGTAACGTGAGTGACTGTCGTTATATTTTTAACCACGGCCGCATGATTTGTTGTTTTGGCCGTATCGTTTTAAAATTTGGTTTATTAAATTCAGGTGGAAGTGCGTGAAGGATAAAATTAAGTATTAAATTAAGGTAGAAGTGCATCAAAAGGCTCCAACAGTATAGTGCGAGGAAATTTTCAAAACGCCTATAGGCGCCCCGTAGTAGTGAAAGGGTTAAGTGTTAAGACGTGCAGTAGCGTGTGTTGAGGTGTGAGGAGGGCACTTGAGACATTTTCTTTAATCATTCATAACTGGAAAACGAAGGTATATCGAACATACACTACCGGCCAAAAGTTTCGAATCACTGAGCATTGCAATTTAAAAAAGTCAGCGACTTTGAGAATTTTTTATCATTCGATGAGGTATATCGAACATACACTACCGGCCAAAAGTTTCGAATCACTGAGCATTGCAATTTAAAAAAATCAGCGACTTTGAGAATTTTTTATCATTCGATGAATTGATAAATGTAGAATTGAGATAAACTTCAAATCTATAAGAAATTAGCAGCAGATTTAATATTGATGAAAAGTGGGAGGTGATTCCAAACTTTTGGCCGGTAGTGTACGTCCACGTGACATTTTTTACTTGTTCAGTTTCTGCATTCACCCCAATGAAGTTTTGGCATGCATTTACGAAGTACCGTGTATAGTTGGTGGAAGCGATACAGCGAGGTCGTAAATCAAAGAGTGGGGGAAGGGACTGACCGATGGTGGGGACCGTGAGGCCCCCGGCGGAGAAGAACTTCATCAGCCCTAGTTTATGACGTATCCGTGCGAGTTTCAGAACTTCGGTCTGACGGCCAAATGTGATTAATGAATTTTACAATCTGGATAACCGATCAGACCGAGGCCTCTTCACATTTTACGACTGCGACTCGTCATTAGCTGTAATATCTCCAGTGAAATTGGTTAAACAGTGTTGTAACCATCTTCCAAACACGAATTACAACAAAAGATTGCTATCGGTGTGTTTCACGAACCCTGATGAAGCGAGCTGCAATGCTTGCGAAACGTCGGAATACTTTTCCCACAAGGACACGGCTTACGCCCGAAAGCCTGAGTAACAATCACGCTCCGGGTCGTGAAAGCCTTAAATCTACGATTTAAAGAAAATTTTTAATTTCAAAACTCTTCCTATACAGAAAATGTGCAAATGTTTTTACACATATTCTTTTCAGTTAGTCAGTTTGAATTACGCATTTGGTAGTTCACTCCGTAGTAAAGTATTAAAGCTACGTTTAAGCGTGGAAAGACACGCAGTTGCAAAGTGAATATTAATTATACTTTTTTCCCGAAAAAGCGTTTTAATTTCTTCACGTTGCGCTGGTATAAATTAAGAAGTTCATTTAAATGCAGTTAACAAATTTCATTCTAATTGGGGAACAAATCTGAATTTTCGTTGCAGGTTAATCCAGGCAGCAAAGCGGCTCAACAAGGGGTGAGGGAGGGCGATATAATTAGTAGTATAAATGGAAGAACTACCAGAGATTTAACGAACAGCGAGGCACACGCACTCTTACGAAACGCCGGGGAACACTTGAAACTTGGTTTGAATCAGTAAGTATTTTTTGTGTACAGACATGCTTCACTGTTTATACAGCAATTTAATTAATCATTTTTGAGATAATAGTATAGCGACTCGTGTTGTTCGGTTGTATTCCTGTTTGAGCGATTTTTATGTAAAAAAATTCTTGGATAGTATTTACAATTACTTACATTTATCGGAATTATATAAATAGAATTTTATTTGACGAGTACATTTCATGATGAATTAATTATTTACAAAAATTATAACTTTTATTTATCTACTTTCTTACTGTTTAGGTGTATTATTTATTTTATTATATGTGCAATATGCATATGTGTATATGTGCAATGAGATGTCTGAATAATAGGATTGCATTAATATTTTCTTTTTTTTTCTTTTTCAGGGAAAATACTAGCTCTCCGAAAAGACGAATTTACAGAAGTAGTTTGCAAGAAAACACTACCACAGAAATTCTCAGCAGTAAGTTTGTCTTCTTTTTATTACATTACAATAAAAAATGGAAATATTGAATTAGCTATAATATTGGTATATAACAGAACGATATTGTATATTTAATACAAGGATAAATATGCAATTAAAAGTAGCAAATTTTTAATAAGTAATTTATTACAGTTTAAACGTAGGTTACTTGAATGGCGAGTTAATTCGTCTTCCTCCGTTGATAAGTTAAAAGTAAAAAGATTGAAATTGAGATTGTATAGATTGAGAAGATTCAATTTCTAGATAAGAGATATTAGTATTAAAATATTGATAATTGTAGCAAACTTTTAATTTTCTAAAAAGAATCATTAGATACTTTCGTAATCGGAATATAAATATACTGATTCGTTCATGTCTGATGTACCAGTTTTTATTAATAGTAGATTAAAATGTTGAATTCTTTATCTTGTAGAGACAACGACAACGAAAACTACGACTACATCGAATACAAGAATCATATCAGCAGAATCGAAGAAGAACGAAACAAGTGAGTATTTTTCAGGATGCTGTATAATTTTAATAATTTGATAAAAAGTAATTTCTGTATAACTCCAATTTTTAATTAATCTTTTAAAAAGTATTTTACATATATTTCATTAAAGACATTACATCACTTTTGAACTTTCGTACTTGTTAGATAATTTTAAGTTTCCTTAATTGTCCCAAACAGTTTCACTTTCTTCACTAATAAATACAACAGTGTCAGGCGCGAAGAGGTATGACAATTTTTGCTCTCGAAGTTAATAAAAAAAAATCATAGTTTTAGTACAAATTAGATGGATATTATAAATTGTACAACATTATTATTACTACGAGAAAATTGGAATTTTATTAACGGGACCTGCAGCTTTATTTTCCAAATGTTATTTATCTACCGAGAAAAGTCAATTTTGGTTCCAAAACCGTACAAATTGCCTAAGTTTTTTTTGAAATAGGTATAATCGCAGCACAAACTATCTAACTTTAAGAAACTTTTTATTTTTTCAATTCTGACGATTAAAATATGATATAACAATGGAAAAAGGTAAACAAAAAAATATTGCTTGTGTAGTTTATGAACGTATCTATCTACCTGCGAAATAACAATCTTCTATTGCTAATAGTTTTCCAAAAAAAAAATATAGAAGAATCGTTCGATTTTACTGCTGTTACATGAGAAGCCTCCCTTAAGCCAGATAGGTTATAATTAAAATAAACGATGCACTGCACAGAAAAATTAGAGAAAGTTTCTTGAAAACATTTATAGAAAAGAACTTTGCTAAGTACTTACCGTTCGTGTTGTCAATACGTAGCTTGTTTCGTATCTACGTTAAAAAGGAACTATTATGAATTTTTAGGAGATTGAGAATGTAAGAGGCTTTAGTTGTTTAAAAAAAGTGTGAAGGCTTAATGGTGTGGAAATTCCATCGTATGGATAGAACAGTAACCATGCCTATCAGTGTGCCCTCAGTTCTATTGTTTCTACGGGAAAACGTGATCTATAGTAGAGGCGAAATGTTTTGGCCGGTCAAAGTCATTCCTCCTCTGTCGTTTTTTCACATCGACGAACCCTACTAACCGAGACCCGTATACATATGCAATGGTTCAACTGGTCAACGTATAGACGCATGGGCGTATCTATATTTGTAATAAATATTTGTTTTACTTTTGGAAGCAATATGTCTTCTTTGGCTTAAGCGACCTACAGTCCGTCCAACGAGTCGAATAAGTAGAGGTAAACAAACGCACGTGGTTGGGACAGGAGTGTATTCACAACTTTCAGACACTGTAACACTAACAATAAGCCTGAGAAGTCGAAGGAAGCCCTGACAGTGACTCATGTAAATCCCCTGAACTATCGTTCGCCAGCCAATAGTTGGAGTCCCTTGTATCTGTCACGTGCTTAACACGCGAATGTTTTGTTTATCTCAACTGACTTGACTCGTTGGACGAACTATAGTCAGTACACATGGTGAGACTTGCCTTGCTGTATGACTTGCGGCCAGGTCTCACGTGAAACCGTGAGGCGGTCTCTTGGTATCATGTTGCCTTTTGCAATCAGTATTCAGTGTTCACTGTAGTCAGTAGCACGCACAGTTTCGAAGTAGTGAAATGGCGTTTGAAAATTTGTGTATGCGAAGAAAAATTGCAACTGGTGTAGCAGTTGCTTTATGCTGAAGAGAAAGAAGGCATACCCTGTAGAAGAAGAAAATGGTAAAAAATTGGCCAATTGCCAAAAATACATTTTCTCATGTGCGAGTATTAAAAAAATTGCGGTAAAACGAATTGCGGTAAAACGAATTCAAAGACTTTTCTTGATTATCTATACACATGAACGAAGAAGAATTTGTTTCGTTTTAAATTTGATTCGATCGTACATCGGGAAGAAAAGTACTGTAATGCCGGAAGCTTTATCTGCTGAAGAAAGTTTGATAGCTACAGTTAGATATTTAGCCATCGTTCAAATTTAAGAAGATTTGTAATTCCCTTGTGCTACCTGGCTGCAATTGTTGAGTCAAATAATTCCAGCAACCTGCTGAGCAATATATGAGGTTTTAAAAGCCAAGTATTTGAAGGTAAATAATGACATGTGAAAGAAGTTTTTATTTCAATATTTTGCAAAATATGTTGTGGTCAAGTGTTGAATATACATATATTTGTTCTACGTGATCATTTTCGTAGTAACTGCGAAATATAATATTTGGTGAATTAATGCTTTGGTTATTTGGTTTCATATTTGTCAAAGGCTGATGTGCGGAAAGTGTTTGCGTTGCTCTTACTGAATAATTTTCGTTCAGTTTGCCTAAGTTTCTGCAATATAGGGTGAGTTGTCCTAATATGGAATACGTGCCCAATATGAATTACCACGGTATTAAAGAATCCTGGCATTGCCTTCTATTGACAGTAAATACAATCGGTTGCGTTTGTTATTTATTTCAACTAGTGAGCATATGCAGAGATTGTACAGAATCACGTGTTTGCAAAAGAATATTGAAGAGAAACCCACAATCTGAGTGTTCGCATAGGAATCTTCAGACTGATATTATACGTAACAAGATAAGTACATTAACTTTATTGTTATGTGATTATTTTTCAAATATGGTCTGGATTGGGTAACCATCGTGGAAATTATTCATTTCTATCTCGTTAATACAATATTTCTGGCAACTCAAACAACAATGATAAGGTGCTCGATAAGGAATATTTCATGTAGGAGGCCATGCATGTCTAATTCTAGTATGACTGAGTGAGTGAAACGTGTTTTCTGTTGTTCAGATGTCGTCTATCGTACAAGTTAGAAAGAAATAGAAAAAAGAAGATATGTATAAAGCGATACAAGCGGTTATAGATTAAAAAATTGGATTTTTGAAGGCGGAGAAGACATATTCTGTTCCTAGAGGAACTTTGTTCCGTTTTATTAAACCATTAAAAGAGAACCCAAATCTTTCGATAGCAATTGTAAACAATTCTTGGTAATTTTGTATAAACAGCAACAAATTTTGTTTTCTTTTTTTAAATAAAAATAATTGTTAGACGCGTTACTTACTTATTTATATCCTACTTCCCATCTTCAAAGGAGTAAATTCGTTAGAATATGCTATTCCATATTAGGCGAATAAAGTATCTCGTATTAGGAGCACCATCAGCCAAATATGGGAAATGAGGACCTCAGTAAAAGTAATAAATATTGTCTAAACCGTTATTATATTTTAAATTTGTCTGTTACCAGTCGAAATAGCATAAAATTTCCTACAGAACCATAATATTTGAGTTTATATAAAAGCATTGCAAATAGGTAAAATATGTGCATGGAAAAAAGTCTTCCATATTAGGATAACTCACCGTATATATAACATCAGTTATAAGCTTTTCAACTACTATGCATTGTTGCTCATTTAACTGTCTCAGATAACAAGCATTTTTTCCCCATTATGTCGCAAGGATCTTGTTCAACTTGTGTATTATTTAAAGCTCTATGGGCAAGTTCAACTAATTGTTTCTTTTTTGCCATCGTGCTCTCTTTTTCGTTTCAATGTCTTTCTTGTAATTGAAGAAGCTGTTGTGTGAAGCAATTCGTGTCATCCTGTTTTTGAAAGAAATAAAAATATGAGCTGTTTTCAGTTTCCACGCTCAGAGGAAGAATGGCAGTCAATTGCAAACGACTTCGAATCTTTGTGGCAATTTCATAGTTGTTTTGGAGCAATTGACGGTAAACATATGCAAATAGTAAAACCAGCCAATAGTGGTTCGTGTTACTATTATACAACTACGAGGGAACATTTAGTGTTGTGATACACTAGGAGTTTTACAAGAGACAGCATTCTAACCCTACAGCACCTGAAGGAACATATTTTGTGTTACGATGTACATTTACAGGCGATGAAAGTTTTCTATTAACAGAAAATGTAATAAAACCATTTTTCGAAAAAGTTTAACAAGGGAAGAAAAAATATTTAAATATAGACTTAGTGAAGCTTGCAGAGCTGTGGAAAATGCATTTGGGATTATGGCTTCAATTAATATAATATACATTGAATTATGTACAACATAAGGATGCCATACTGTCCCTTACGAAATTTTTTAAGGCAATACTCGTTAAGAAATTCTGGAGAAATAGTACCTAAGAGCACCATTTTCAAATATATCTTCACGAGAAGTACGACAAAACTTTAAAAATTATTTTAGTAATGAGGGAGCCGTGGATTTTGACGAGAAAATGGTGTAATTGTCAGAATATTGAATAAAATGATTATGTATACACTTGATTTAAGGTATAACTATAGAGTGGCTTGCTAGAACCCCTAGAACGTCCAAACCCCCACTTAACCGCTTACGTTTTCCTCCGTCTTACCCTCTGCTACGCTCTCTGTCTATGCGCAGAACGGACGAGAATCGGTCCGATAGCGAGGTTATTCTTATTTTGAACGTACAATAGAAATCGTCTTTTTTTATTTGCACTACTTTTCCTCCGTCTTACCCTCTGCTACGCTCTCTGTCTATGCGCAGAACGGACGAGAATCGGTCCAATAGCGAGGTTATTCTTATTTTGAACGTACAATAGAAATCGTCTTTTTTTACTTGCACTAATTTTGCATTAAACGGCTCATATGTATATACATACATACACGCGCCGTTGCCCGAGAAGGCGTGGCTTGCTGCCCGCCGGTTTGTTTACGCCCGGGGAAGATTAGTACGTTGCCCGCACGGGCAATGACTGAACGGCACTGATGTAAACGCTCTACACGTTGACAGTTGTCTGTAGATAGAGTTTCAGTGTAGCGTCTCAGACGTTTTCACTGCCACTGCCTCGTAAATACGTCATCGAAGCTGATTTCTACAAAGGATGATATATTGTTTCAGAGACAAATGAGTTCGTCATATATGTTGCGCGGGACAGGGAATGCGTTAAATTGATTTATCTTGGGAAGTACGTTGAGTTGAAGTATTATAGATGAACGTAAACGATTATATTATTCACGAGAAGTGAGCTTTAGTATAGGTATGGGG